AAACTTATTGTCCATTACTAAAGCCTAATGAATTTATTTGGTCGGCCCACTATGTATCAGCCCACAATAACCCGAAAGGAACATGATGTCTTAAGTTGGAAAAAAAGACGCCAGATTTACGTACCCAAATAAAAAAATATAGATTTTTCATCCCAGTATTGGGTCACTCAGCAGCAACTAGATTGACTAACTGAACAAATTATGGGTCACAGGGCCTGAAAAGGGAGGGGAAAAAGTTGACAATTATGATCCTTGTGGAAGGAAATAAAAGATAGTAAAACAATCCAGCTCGGTTTTGATTACTGAAGCAGAATGTGTCGGATTTAAATTCGTGTAAATGTAAAAAATATCTTTAAAAATGTTACATTTAATTAGACTTGATAATATTCAAATTTAATCTAATCATATAGCTATATAAAAATATAACAAAAAATTTATGAAAAAAATTTGAAAAAATCATATCCAATAACTTATAAAAAATATTATTCATAAACAAAAATTAATAAGTTCATCAATAGATTGTTATTAAAATAAAAATATGATCTTATCATTTTTTTATTTGAATGATGACTTATCATTAATTCTTGTTCATGGATAACTTTTTTCATAAGTTCTATTGTTTAAAAAAAAAAACCAAAAGGTGGGCTTAAAATTTTAACAACTCAATCCCAAAGTCAAAGGAGTGTTTATATATCTTTTTTAAAAAATATAAGGTCACAGAAAATTATGTGAGTAGAAGAGATTAGGTTAAGTCCAGACTCATAATGAATCAATACCATAGGGGTGAAACATAAAAAATTAAAAAATTAAGAATCAAAAATATTTTTAAAATATATATATATAATTATAAATAATTTTAAACTCAACTAAATGTATGTATATCTCCCAAGATTTTATTCCTCAGTTAAATGTATCAAACTTCTGTTTATAATTAGTGAGGCCCACATTTTTAAATATTTTTTATTCCCACCTCTCTCCTTTCTTTGCTTCTGCAACGTCTTCTTCTCCAGCCGGCCACTCCGAACTTTCATCCCTCAGAATGACGATTGCTGCGAACTTCCCCTCCCACTTTGCTGTCTTCTTCGCTGCCTTATGTACTGCTAAATATACTCTCTCTCATCCATCTATCCCTAATCTCGCTCTCTCTGCCCTTTCTCTCTCTATGGATGGAAACACAAGTCCAATGTCGATGGTAGTGCCTGCACAGCTATTCTCTCTCTCCTCCCCTCCCACTTCGTCGTCTTCTATGCCGAATCTGGCAAAGCAGGTGATTAAGTGGTAGTGCCTGCACTACCCCTCCAAGTGATCGAATGGCGATGCATGCATGCATGCATGAAGGAGGAGGAGGCGCCGGTGGGGTTGAAGAAGTCGCAGAGAATGGTCAAGTTTGTCGCCACCCTCCTCTTCCTCTACATCTTCATCGCCGCCGTCCTCCCCCCTCTCTTTTCGCCCATCGTCCATTCTCATCTCCTCTCTCTGCTCCATCTCTACACCTTAGTGTTGTCGGCCTCCCCCCCCCCTCTCTTCTCATCCATCATCCATTCTCATCTCTTCTCTCTCCTCCATCTCTGCACCTCAGCATGGTCGGCCTCCCCCTCTCTCTTCTCCCATCGTCCATTCTCAACCCTTCCCTATTCACATGGATCCACACAAGCTTGCTAACTAGTAGCAAGAACTCTGGTGCTAGGAGCTTTCATTAGTGGAGGGATTTCACCGGAGGGAGTGGGGAGGGGGAGAGGGAAGAGAAGGAGAACAAATATTAAAAAATAAATGGTGCGACCCACTTAAATATTTTATAAAAAAATATTAAAAAATTTAAATATGAATCTTATTAATGATGACAGATTTAACATAGGGTGATTGAAAGTTAATTTTTAAAGAATGAGAAATATAAATGATCTTTAATGGAGTTTAAAGTACACCTTTGTAAATAAAAATAACCCTTAATTAAAAATTAAAGCATCTGTATTATTGCTTGGCCACCCTTATAACCACTAGATTCTTCACATCTATTGGCGCTGAGGTTATTCTCGGAACAATCACATCTGAGGATATTTCCTATAAATCTTAAATTCAAGTATTTTTAAAATTATTCTGGCAAAACAATAAAAAAAATTATGATCAGCACTTAAAAAATTAATTTTTTTAGAATAGTTATCAGAATTATCCAAATTTAATTTTCTTAAAATTTAGTCACCATTTTTTAAAAAATATAATAAATATATTAAAATTTTAGTAAACTTCATTTTCTAAAATAATTATATTTTTTAAAAATTTACAAAAAATTATTTAGTCAAAGATCAATTGAGAAGTACTTTTCTTGACCTGCGAAAACGACCTTCCTTCAATATTGTTTGGTTTCCCCGCCACGTTACAGATGTCCTGTCCAGATTTAGTAACTGCACCATGAATCAGTAAAATTTATATTAATAATTTTTAATGCATATTTCACTAAAAATTAATTAATAAATAAATAAATTTATTTAAAGTATTAATATAAATTTCAATAATTTAGATAATGCATACATTCAATGCTTATAGTCATCGAATCAAGCGTCCGGTCTTGGGGTGGGTTTGACTCGATGACTTGGAAACGACGATAGCCACGACCCCCAAACGAGCGAAACGGTTCCAGATCGAAGCAAGCCTTGATAGGGGAGGCCCAATTGTGAATACAAGGTAATAAAATCGCCTCATCTTTTATTTGTTTCCATTTCATCTCTGTCTTCCTCCATAATTAACAATCCGGCATCGCTCTTTTCACTATATTCTGTATTGGACAAATTCGGATTTGATGAAGGCAATTCTCAATGTTTCTATATTGTTCGAGTGAGACGCTAGTCAAGGAATGAGTTTTCTTGTTTGCATTAAGTTTTGTGTATTAGAAATTAAATGGGTAAATGATTCATTTGCTTCGCGAACTCATTTTTCGCTTCTTCGATCCTCTTAAACGGTACAGAGATCAAGTTGATTACTTCTTGTTGGCATTAAGCTCTGTCTAATGACTGGTACGCTGATGAATTACTACGTATATATATTCTGAGTTCATGCTCGCTCCGGTGAAGCTTTGAGTGAACCTTACTGAGTTTAGATCGATTTATTTTAATGCTTTGGTATGTGTTGTACGAGACTCCTTATTTTCGTAATTCATATTTGTATGATGTAAACTGAAAGAACTGTAGAGTTCCATCCACTGGTTGTGTGTACAGATGTCTTCATTATCTTGTCGCTGAAGTTTCGTTTCTTAAGAATTTCTTGAAGTGACAAGTGAGCTACTGAATGATGCTAACTATAAAGACAAAGCTCTCTGTCAACACACGATAGAGAAATGTGAGCCACCTTTGTTCTGCTGTTAAGTCTAAAATCTCTTCATGGGTTTTGCGATATGCGTTGACACAAAGTTTCACTGTCTCTATTGGTCATTAAATTTCCGTAAGTTTCAGCCTTTCAGGCATCGAATGTAGTTTATCTGAGTCGAAGAAGCATTGAATCAGCTGCAATTAATATTGAGAATCATTCAGTTTCTTAAAGTATCTTTCCATAATGCCTGTGCCATTCAATCGTAGTTTTTTCACTGCCAGGGTTGTTAAACTGCTAGCAAATTGCATATTAAATAAAAATGTGTTGATAAGTCTGGCAAATGAGGATGGTGTGAATTTATTTTAATTTTCATTTGTATTGGTATCATATATTAATAGCTAACTTGAGAATAGCCACTTTGTCGGTAGTTATTTTCATTGAGGCACGTGAAGGGCTTAAATTAGTGCAATTTGTAGTTTGTAAAATTTACCGTTGGAACAGAAATGTGGTGAATGAGGAGGAATAGCTATAAAATTAACTTTTGAAGATAAAGATTAAGGATAAATATAATTCCTAAATAGCAATAACCTCCAAAACTCCAGATAATTAACAACTCAAATTTTAAATAAAGAAAACTTCCTAATCCAGGCTCTGGAGTCCTACTCAGATAGGTTTCTTAGTATCGTATTGCAGTTGAATATTAGGATTTACCAAAAAATTTTGCCTGAGCAAATCATGAAATTTAAATGACACACGAGATAAAAACCCTTTTATTCTTTATGGTTTTCCATTTAAAAATTTTTAAGCGTTATCCTAGAGTTAGAGGTCATGAACACTATTAAATAATGCAGTCATAGTTTGACATGATCATATCGTTCTTTAGTTATCTTTGACTTCTAGGATTTAACCCATCTTACTGTTACATCAATAAGATGAGGGATCTGAATTTAAGAACGGTCTGCGATTTTATGAGGTTCAAAGATATTTATATCTGCATTTTATTGAATAATCATGGTCAGACTCTGCATATAGTGACATGGTCGCGTGGTTATGTGTTGGTATGATTTTTATTCTGGGGATGAGTTACAGGTATATCTAAAAATAGAAATTCAGAATTCTAGATCTTAGAAGAAAGGGCAACAATCAATCCCCTGTTCGTATTAGTTGTTTTTCATGACTATAAATGTTATATTCATACACACTAGGAGTGGCTTGAGTGGTAATCAAGCTTGAACTTAGTAGCTGAAGGACCTTTGCAATATCAAGGACTCAATCTTGTAAAGAAAAATGCTTGTAGGGAGGGACAGCCTTAATCCTACGGCGAGATTAGTCTCACACCCCCCCCCCGCCTGTTTTCAAGTTCTTTTTTGGATGTATTAATGTATTACTCTGATCTTTTTTATGTAATTTTGTCACAATGGCCAAATAAAGTAAAACCAACTTTGTGAACTTGAAAGTTCATGAGGATAGTCTTGAGAGAAACAGACACATCTTGAATGTTACACGGCAGTCTAAGTTCCCTCAAGTTTCAGTTCTTGGTTTGCAACATGTGATATAATGGTTCTGATTTCGAAAAAGTCAATCTATGCTCATTTTGCATCTCTAATTTGGATAGAATTTTGAGAATATATCTGCTTTTTCATTATCTGAAACTGCCCGCTTTTAAACGAGTATCAATGTAGCATTGAGCTGCACACGAGTAAAAGTTAATCACAAAAACTGCTGTTGAGATTTTATATTGGTCGTATTACATGTTTCGTGTTTGATCCCATTTAATCCAAGATGGTTATGCTAGTTATGCAGGATTGTTATCTCCCTCGGGCACATCAGTTAGTATATAGTGTCAAAAGAACTCTTAACATTCCACCCTCTGTAAACCCTATTTTGATCTTTTATCCCTCTCATGATTACTCCACATCATCTTCAGATTCACTGGATGAAGAGATTGCAGCTATTTCTGGATATCAGCATCTGCCGCAGCAGCTTACGGTATCATCGCCAAAAGTCTAAAGATGGAACCCTCCATACTGATCACCTAGTCCCTAGTAATCCCTACAGGGCTACAGGTAAACTCTCTTGTTATACAGAAATTTGTTCCCTTTCCCACCCCAATCTTGACCCGCCAGCCTCTTGGACTAGAGATCACTTGTAGCATCACTTCAACACATTTTCCTCTATAAATTTTCAGATACCCTGTCTCACTCAGGACCAGAAGTCCCACCACTGGTAACCAGCAGGAGACTGGTCTAAGAGTTCATCTGAATCAAAAGAACGCCAATCTTCTGCTGAAGTCAGGGAATCATCTGCTTGCTCGACAAAATTCAGAAGAGTAGGTTGATCTTCAAGGCCAAAGTATTCTGCCTTTATGCTGCTGTCATCATCTGAGAGAACACCCAGTACGTGCTCTGATCGCTCCATTGTTGAGCTCGGATTTTCCTCAGGTTTTGCTCTAGCGGTGTCTCCATTTTCTGATACACTGTCCATGCTGTTTGCTGGTTTGGCTTGCGTGCAGCACTGAGCTTGCTCGTTTGGCTTCTGTATTTGACCATTCAGCTTCTGCAACTGCTTTGACATTGAAACTAGAGTCATTGACTTCTGAAATGAAATGGGTTGATTTCTAATTTTCTATGCATGTCTCTGCTTCCAAACCAAAGAATAAAAATTGAATTTTGTACTTTTTGTACCTGAATTAGCAATGCCTCCTTCTCCTTCTTCAGAGCTTCGAACCTGGAAGCCAAGCTGCTATAACTAGCTCTTAGTATGCTGTAGTCTCTTTCAATCTGCTTGGACTTCCATCTCGCCCTCTTGTTCTGGAACCATATAGCAACTTGCCTTGGCTGCAACCCGAGCTCTCTTGCCAGCTGCACCTTCTTCCTCGGCTCAAGCCTTGACTCTGTCTCAAACATGGATTCCAACGATCTGATCTGGTCATCACTGAACCTTCTCTGGATTTTGCTTCCCTTCCTCTTCCTCGTGAGTACTCCTCCTCCTGATGGATCTGTGCTGCTATAGGCTTCTGCTTCCGCAGCTGCTGCTGAATGACAATATTCCATAGCATGCTGATCAAACATCTTGTGGGGATCTACAGTGACTTCTTCCTGGGTGTTTAAAGAACTCGAGGTTTTGTTTTTGGTTTTGTCTTCTTTTTTTTTTTTTTTGGGGCCAAATAAAGAACTCGAGGTTGAGTATAGGTGGAAGGGAATGTCTCTGGGACTGGGAGTGTGTGCCATACGATAGGCATGTATTTATTAGCTTCAAGTATGGGAGTTCCTATCATGGAGGTGTGACAGAAGTCTTCAATTTCTGCTTTATATCCACAAACCCAACGAGGTCCTATTCAACCTATGAAGTTTCTCCACCTGTGCCTCATGCATATCGCCTCTTTTCTGTTGACAGTTTATTTTATTTTTCTTCTTTTGAATGGGGCCCCGGGTTCGAGCCAGCTTCCTTGTTCGGCTTGGTTTGAGTGGCTTCCTTTCCTTTCCGCTCTAGTTTCTCAAGCCATGTTTACCGCGTCATCATATTGCAACAAGCACGTAATGATTTCTCGAATTTAATGACATTTTTAATGGTTTATGTGAGGAAGGATTTAACATTCGATGTTGAATGGGACTTCGTCGGTGACATCATCTTCTTCATATAGAGGATTGTGCCCTGATTATATATTGGCTACATGAATCACGTTCTTCACTCAGTTGTCTGGTTACACAAGTCATGCAATGATTTCAAGTTATTTATAATACTCCGTCAAGTTCGGTCAAGTTTCATCGTTTTTTTATTTGCCTGAAGCAACCTTTTTTAGCATGGTGCATGCTTTTTCTTTTTAACCTTGTTTTCCTGTCTCGACTCCATTGGTGCCACAAGGGAGTGGGATCATGTAGAGCGCCCCCACCAAAAGAAAACTTTGCTCTTGGTGGCTTAAATACATGACTTTAAAAATTCTGTGCTTAGAAAATATATTTTTTTGAATTTTTAAAATAGAAAACAGGGTAAAATGAGGGATGGAGCCGAAGCTGGTGGCTTGAGCAGGAGCCAGAATGGGACTGGAGACTCATGATGGGGATTAGGTGGAGTTATTTTCAAGCTTCCAACCATTTTTTAAGTAAGAAATTGCCATCTTCAAAATTCTCTTTATTTTTAAATTAACATTAAAATTTTTTTTCACCCAATAAGATAAGTTGCCAGGAGACACACTTCTGTCACCTGTCATAGCCAGTCAATGAAATGTTGCCACCTGCACTCAGTCAAAACATAGTATCTTCTTACGTCGTCTCTTCCTTCGGAGTTTGGGGTTTCCCTCTCATGACGTGGCGAAAAACCAATGGCAAGAGCCTACTGAGGCGATCACATCCCGCGACGGGTGTCGTACTCCGAACGTGATATCGTAATTTGTTGAGATTCTGATTTGTGGAACAAGTCTTGTTTTACACGTGTCCTTCTTAGTGGGCTCTACCTGTTTGCCACGTAACTCTTTGCCTTTTGTCCTCTAGCCAACTCTCCAACATTTAAAATTAAAAATTAACTTTTAAAAATTTACTTCTCTCCTCTAAAAATATAAAATAATTTTAATTTAATTTTATTATTAATAAAATAATTATTTATTTTTAAATTAATTCTATCTCTTTATATTTACACCTATTAAACATTTTATAATAAATATAAAATTATTCATTAATAAAAATATTTTTAAAAAAATAATAATTATATTTAAAAAATTAAAAATATTTTATATTTTTTAATATTTAATTTTTTAAAAAATATTTTTAAAGGAGTATATAATACTCAGCTTTTAATTTATTTATATTTTCTTGACATTTCTAATGATTTAATTTAGCTTTTAATTTTAAAATTTAGCTTTTCTATACCCAAGAAAAAATAGCTTTTGGGAGCTAAAGTCGAAAAAAGAGAGCCGGGGAATGTAAATAGCTCAAGCTTGCAGAAATTTCTTTTTTTAAAAAAAATTACCATTTATTTGGGGCTCAACCCCATTTGAATTAGAATTAGTCTAAGTCAATTGTAATTTTGAATAGCAAATGGTTTGAAGAGGGTAACGAGAATATTAGAACAATTGAAAAGCAGCAGAAGAGGCAGAAGAGAAAATAATATAAAACAAGATTAATTACGTTAATTCAATTTGCATAATTAAGTTCTTTTTCGCCAGAAAAATAATTAAATAGCTAAGAATAGCATATTATACTTATGTGCCTAGTATGTGTTTTTTATTTTTAAGAAACATGAACTCATTAGTTATAACACACATAATTCAATCTGTCTCTTCACACACACACGAATTATTAATTATATGAGGATCGAATTTCCAAGACCGACTAATTAAATTAACCTTGATGATGCTGTGCTCAAATTTATTTATTTAATGGATGAACTAAATTAATTGGTACTAGTTTTGACACAAATCGAACTCAAATCGTTCAATACAAAAATCAATTCATCTCTTTATCTTTGTTAGTGTTTGACACAAATCGAACTCAAATCGTTCAACACAAAAATCAATTCATCTCTTTATCTTTGTTAGTGTTTAAAAATAATAAATCAATTAATTAAAAAAGCAGAGTTTGACTGTTAGTCTTGCTTATAAATTAACGTGCTAGCTACAAATTAACACTTTAACTAATAAATGTAAAATATTATTATCTCCAATACTATAGGACTCTCATGTTCAGGAATCAGGAGCTTCTAGAATGGAGGCCACTTGTTTATTAAGTAGGATATATTTTTAATTATAAGTGTAATTAAAAATAATGTTGAAGGGGGTCGAGATAAGCATGAATTATCAGATGCGTAATGGAGCATCCAATGAGGGAAAAGGGACATGTTGGAGGGCTTGAAAATGAACATTCTCGTACTATTTTGAAAATATTACTACCAATGTCCTATACTCCCACAAGAATGTTTCTTTGCTTCTTTCTGTTTTCTTTCTCCCGTCACTTTCATTTGTGCGCCTAGTAACTCAGATGAAAAAATCGAAGGCTTTTGTTACTCTCAATGATTAATCAACAGTAAAGAAAGCAAGGATGAAAGGAAATACAAGTTGTTTATTGAATCATCATAGCACGATTACAACTCTTGCATGACAGAAAGCGTAGCAAAATGCAAAAGTGTAGATACACTACCCAAAGCGAGAGAATAGAAGTGTTTGAAAGAAAATCCAATTACAATTAACTTGTCCTCTCTCCATTCATATCCCTCACTTATCCAACTCATACATGGCGTGGAGTTTCTAAGTGGGCAATTTAATTCTAGAGCTATGCCTCGACCCATTCTCTAGTGGCATACCCAAACTATTTCCCAATTTGCCTTAGAATCCATAGTATCCACAACATTCCCTGGTTTGGATCTCATATGTAGGACCATGACAATGCCCCTAGCATTAAAAGAGACCTTGTCTTCAAGGTCGAAACTCAAATAAAGACATGTGATCTCATCAACTAACTTCCAACAAGGAAACTCACCATCCATTTGAGCAAGACCATAGCTTCAACAGCTACAGGTTGAATGACAGGACCCTTAACCAAAGTCAAAAGTGATAATGGCACTGAAGGCTTGAAAGTTGAGTTGTAACATTTCTTCAGCAAAGACAGGTGGAAGACTAGGGGAATCTTAGCCTTAGGAGGAAGTTGCAATTTATAAGCCATGGAACCAACCTTGGCCATAATCAGGACTAGACCAAAACACCACATTGCTAATTTATGATAATGTCAAAGTTCTACTAAGTGTTGCAGATATGGTTGGACCTTTACCCAAACTAAGCCACCAATATGAAAGTGTACCTCACATCATTTCTAGTTTGCAAAGCACTTCATCCTTACTTGAAAACGAGTCAAGTTCATCTCAAGGGATTCCAACAAAGCATCATGATCAACTAGCTGATGCAATGGAGAAAGGGAAGTGTCCTCTGTTGATGCTTATCGAAATAAAGGTAGCGGAAGACGACCATAAAAAGCCTGGAAAGGTGTTATCTTAATTGCTTCATGATACAGAGTGTTGTAACAATACTTAGCCCATGCCAAATAATTAAGCCACTTTCAAGGGTGATTAGCCACCAAGTAACACAAATACATCTCGAGGCACCCATTAACTGCCTCTATTTGGCTGTCGGATTATTGGTGGTATGAAAATCTAATCCATAGTTAGGTGCCATGAGCTTTAACAAGACATTACCAAAATGAGCTGGTAAAAGTCTAATCTCTATTAGAAAAGATGGTGAATGGTAGGCTATACAACTTGACTACATTTTGCGTGAATGTAAGAGTGAAAATCTAACTTGTATAATTGGCCGTAAGAGGTATGAAATGGACATATCTAGAGAATCAATCTAGCACAGCAAATATTATAGAGTACTCTTCTTGTAATGGTAGTCTAGTGACAAAGTTCATCGATATATCCGCCCATATGTGGTCAGGAATGGGCAAGGGATTAAGTAACCTAATTATATGTAATTGCATGACCTTGGCTTGCTGGACATGTCTGACAATTTAACACAAATATCAGAACATTATTATGCACATATGGCTAATAAAATAAGGTTGCCAAGTGTTTGTATGTATGAAAAGAACTTGCATAGCTCCCTGTTACTATAGAATGGAATTCATATATTAGCTTCTGATGTAGTTTGGTTGGATTAGATAGTAGAACAAATTAATCTCTCTAGCATAAATCTTGGCCATATAACTCATATTAAGTCAAACCAGATAGGTCAGATTGTAATTGTAGCTTTAGTTACTGAAGTTCTGAAGAAGTGTGAATTGCCTAAAGGACATCATCTATAAAAGCATAAAAGACTTGCAAGATAGCATGTAAAAAGGCATGTGATTGTGCATCTATCATCTGATTATATAACCACGGTTTGTACTTAATGGTAAATTAATAACCCATCAATTTGAAGATACAACCTCTTGTTCAAGGGTGTTAATATGCTCCATAAGGTGATGCAAACTATCATGGTCTATCTAAATTATAAAGGGTGCTTGAACAAGAACAAATACTATCTTAATTGTGTGATTGACTCTGTAATGATGTATAGCTCTCTATTCTAAAATGATTGAGCCTGCATTCTATTGGATAACTTTTTTGGAAAGAATACAATTGGTTGATCACCTTGGCCAGTACTGCTCCTATTTCTACTTTGAAGCTATCGATCTCTAATAAAAAAGGCTCATCAAAGTTTGGTAGAGCTAATATAGGAGCTATAGTAAGAGTGCTTTTCAATGCTTTCAATGCTTGTTGTGCCTTATCAAACCACACGAAAGAGTCTTTCTGTAACAACCTCATCAAATGACCTGCTATGT